TCACAAAAGCAATGAGCTGGATGGTGCGTGCCTGCTCGGCTGTGCTGCAGGGGGGACGGGAGGGCCGGGATGGGATGGGCCGGGATGGGACGGGTGCCCAGCCAGGGATCTGCAGCCCGTGGGCTGCCCCTGGCCATCTCCCCCACGGCCACACACAGTCGTCCTCTGGCACGGGGAGGGGGCTTTCAGCTGGCAGGGGGGCAGGTGGGAAATGGGGGACACCACTCACCACTCACTCCCCTTCAATATTTGGGCAGGTTTAAAAATTACCGAGCCCAGAAGGGGAGCAGGGTGCGAAGGAGAAGGGCGGATGAGCTTGTCAAACGACTCTGGTGGTGTCAGCCCAGGATTATTAGTATTTGTATGCGGAGAGAGCTCTCCTGTGCCAAGGCTGCTCCATGCAGAGCAGTATCTTCCCTCCTCTTCCTCCCTGCCAAAGGGAAACTCATTTGGGGTTGGTTTTGGTTTTTTTTTTATCAAACCTTTTTTTTTTTTCTTTTTCTGTTTTACAGACAGCTTCCCAAATCATCCCTCTCATCTTGGGCACGGCAAGTGAAGCCAAGACACAGCGCAGCCCTGACCTGGTGCAAACCCCCCAGCAAGAGGGCTGTGCCGGCGCAGCACGCGGGGAGCCTTTCGCTGGGAAACCTGCTCAGGACACCGTAATAAATTAAAAAACAAGGTTACATCCAAATTGCAGCGGAGCTCCTCTGGGCAAGGACGAGGAAGGCAGCAGCTTTCAGTGGCTGTGTCACAAGCTGGGATGTGCTTCCCTGCTTCTCCATCAGGACCCGGTCTTGGGAAATTCAGACCACACAGCCCAGCTGGAGTTACGAGATTTTGACTGTTGGTCTTTTTTTTTGGATGCTGAAGAGCTCTGGCAGGGCAGCTGCTCACTGCCGAGGGAGATGTGGGGTCCAGCTCCCCACCAGGAGCCTTGCCCTGGGTGAGGAGTGGGAGGGATGCGGGCAGACCCCATCGCCTTCCCAGCTCTTCTCTTGGCTCAGCATCCTGCCGTGTTCCCTCCCCATCACCGTGCAGGAACCCACCCCAGCCAAGAAAACAACATCCCCAGGCAACAGCGGCGCAGCCTCGCAAAATCATCACCAGCCATTAAAAAAAAAAAGAAAGCTGGGCTGAGCAGAGATGCTGGCTCTAGCTCTGGGCAGCGCTGGAGGGGACGGGTGTTAAAACCTCTGCCAGGCATCGAAGGGTTGTTCAAGACTCCTGGATTAAGCATAAAGTTCTCAGGGTGGCGAGGGCTGGATGCGGGCAGGCTGCGACGGTTGCTGCCTCCCAGCTAGCGACG